AATAAATTATCATATATATTAATGTTAATTTTATAATATACTTTATTTATTGATTAATTTCTGTGTGGTGTTTCTTCACCTGTCTTCTTAGTTTGCTTTTATGAATTTTTTTATTTCGCGTAGATAATAAAGTTTTATCATTATTTTTTGATATAATATGTTTTGAGAACCGAGGTGTAATTTTGTTTCTGCTAGCTTCTTTTCTAAATACAGTGTCATGTTCCTCAAATACGTTTGGAATTTCTTTCGTCTTGTTTAGTTTGTCACTTCTGTTAGATGTCTTTGTTTTCAAGTCCTCCTGTACGTTTGGGTATAATTCGTTAAGAAATTCATTAAGTTTCTGTAGGTATTCATGTTCATTTGAGAGATTCGTTTGTTTATTAAATGTGTAGGGTCTGCAGAAGAAAAGTTCGTAAGGGGTATGTTTGGTTGAAGAGTGTATGGCATTCTTATATGTAATGAATGTTTCAAATAATATCTCCTCATGTTCTGTTGACAACTTTTTCTTTTTTCGGGTTGTGAGTATTAGTCTATAGATTTCGGTTAAGGTCGAATGAAGACGTTCTACAGGTGTATTGCTACTAGTTTGCTGAGAGGATGTGAAATGTAGATCTATGTTGAATTGTTTGCAAAAATCCTTGAACATATTCGAGTCGAATTCTGCGTCTTGGTCACATATTATTTTCTTGGGTATGCCATAGGTGCTAATATAATTTTTTAAATACTTGAGAATGATCACACTAGTCCTACAAGGGAGTGTGTATCCACAAGCGAACTTAGAGAATTTGTCTATTAACGTAAGCATTTGATTATGGTTAATGCTATAAAGGTCAATATGATTGATTTCTAAAGGTTTTGGTGGTATTTCTTGTTTTTCTTATTAGGCTTGGGAGGGTTTCTATCGTATTTCAGGGTTTTGCATTTGTCGCAATTGTTAATGGTCTCTGTAATTCTGGTCTTCATGTTAGGAAAATATAGTTTCGTAGATTCCTCTATGATTGGAGTTGTTATGGTATTCCTTAACAATTTTCTCCTGTTCGTCCTCCGTTGTAATATCCTTCAAAACTTGTACACACCGAGTGAGTTTAAAAGTTTTATTACGAGAGAAATATTTAGAATATACTTCTTGAATGATATGAAATGTGTCGTCATTCGAGAATATTGCAGAAACTTTATTTGGGGGTATGAAATTCTTTAAAACGGTTAGTATGATTTCTGCGTTGTATTCAGGCCTACGAATGGTTCTACGTTGTTTGTTCTTAAAAGTTGTTTCGGTTGTCATTGAGGGACCCTCTTTTGTGGTGTCAATAATGAATTGTAGGTTAAATTCATTAATTGATTTTTCTGAAATTGGGATACAATCATTTAAATTTTTCTGTATGGTGTGATGTGAATTTATATTGTCCTTTTATGGAAATGAAAGCACATTAATTATTTTTAGTATATAAGTACTTTATTTTATTTTTTTAAAAAAAAAATATTAAATTTAAATATTTTTTTTAAATAACATATTTACCTTATTCTAACAATAGTTAACTAAATCTAACAATATTCTCTTAATTCTAATTGATTATTCTTATATACTTTACTATTATTTATATTCATATATTTCCTATTTATAAACGACACATTACTTCAGACAAGAAATGCATAGTAAGTACTTACTGTGCATTTGTTTGTCATGTGTCTCACATTCACATGTGTTCCGATTTGTGTGGTCTCAATATACTTGACACCACATGAGCTCTTAACCGATATTCAAGCGGCAAATTATTTATGTCAGAAGTATCATTTTCTGACTCATGCCATAAATTACGAAAATGCAACGGTTAGCTCTTTTAAATCAGAACATAAGTGTTTAGAAGAATATGAATGCAATAGTCATCAAAGGCGGCCTTAAGATTGAGTAAGGTCAACTATAGATATACCATACACCCTTACCCTTCAAAAAAGAAAAAAAAAATATTTATGCATAGATATGTAAATATATATGTAGGAATTTTTTTTTTTGAATGTGACAATATTTAGCAAAACAATACGTTGAATGGTTTATAATTGTTTATTTTTTTTTTATTAATTTACTTTAATTTGAATATGCAATATACTAAGTATGAAGATATATAAATGTTTATGACAATAAATTTGTATAATAAAATATAAGTTTATAATGAAGTGAAAACATTTTCATTATGATTATTAATTCAAAATTTTTTTTCCATTGTATATTTTCAAATTGTTCTTATGTATAGTTTTTTGTTTTTTTCCTATTTCTATAACTACATTACTATCTAGTATCTCTATAACTTTATAGGAACCTGAATAAGGACTGTCACCTTTTTTTCTATAGGGTATAGGGTTACTAGTTTGTTTGCTTGCTAACTGTCTTCTTACTTTTGCTTCTAATGTGTATTGTCTTGCTTTCTCAATAGATAACTTTAACCGAGTTTTTAATTCATAAGCGTAATCGTCTATGTTATATCTACCTTTGTCAGCATACAAATTTTCAGTTGGAAAAGATGGTAATTTACCAAGAATTAGTTCGTGTGGAGTATGCCCTGTGTCTACATGTGGTGATGTGTTGTAAGCAAATGTATAGTATGGTAACCAGTTATCCCAGTTATCATCGTTTGCAAAGTTAAGCAAGTATTCATTCAGTACATGGTGATTTCTTTCAACCATACCTATAGTCTCATGATGGTAAGGTGTGGAGAACTTTTGTTTTATTTCTAACAATTTTGTGATATTTGATATGAGTTCATTCATGAATTCTGTACCTCTGCCTGACTTTAGTATTTTAAATGTTCCATATTTCAATATTAATTGTTCAACAAGTGTCTTGGCAATTGTTTTCGCTTGTTTGTTAACCATTGGATATGTGACGATGAATCTTGTAAGTTCACATTGCATGGTTAGAATGTATCTAAAACCATTTGATAGTCGCAAAGGTCCTACTGTATCTATTTCGACTGTTTCAAATGATGTATTTGGAATAGAAGTTAATTGAAGTTCTTCCTGTGTGTGCCTTATTTGTTTATTTCGTTGACATTTCTCGCAAGCAGTTATATACTTGTATATCATTTGTTTCATTTTGCGCCATGAATATTTCTGTTTTAATCTTAATAATGTCTTTCTTATTCCTTTGTGTCCACCGAGAGGAGTGTTGCGATATTCCTCTATAAGTCTGGAATATCACCATCGAAATCGACTTCGTAGGTTCTTCGCTCATTACCACGGTTACATCGTTTTTCGTAACGTGTATGGTACCTTTAAATTGCTTTGTAAGCTTATTATTGTATACAAATTGTAATCTCTTCACTCTATGTATATCACTAATGGATGTACAATTCCAACAATAGAGTTGATCAGGCTCAATCGGCTTTGTAATTCCTTTAATCTTATCCGTAGTTTGTGCAACTTTTGATTTACTTCGTGTAGCTACGCATATCTTTTCCATATATTCTTTATTCAAATGTCTCAATAATTCGTCTTCATTTGGAAGGTTTAGCTTTTTGCTGGACTTGGCGTCATTTTGTTTTGGTATAAGATTTGTGAGTCTTTGAGTATCTATCTTTATGCGTGATAGTGCATCAGCATAGGTATTAATTTTTCCTTTCTTGTATATAATCTCAAAATCGTAGTCTGAAAGATCTACTCGAATTTTAGTCATGTTTGAAGATGGATTTTTGTGTACAAATAATGAGATTAGAGGTCTTTGGTCTGTAACAACGTAGAATCTTTTGCCATAAACATATGGTCGGAAATAATTTATAGCCCAATGTATGGCTAATAGCCCTTTTTCGATTATTTGTTTGTTTAAATCATGCTTTTGTAGTGCTTTACTAGCGTTAGAAATTGGTAAATCAGAGCCTAATAACACCTAGTGCGAAGTCTGATGCGTCAGTAGTTATGACGAATGGTTTGTCAAAATCAGGGTAACGTAGTATTGGTGGGTTTAATAGTTTACACTTAAGAGTGTTAAAAGCAGTTTCGCATTCCTTAGACCATTCAAACTTTTGGTTTTTCTTGAGGAGTAAGTTCAGTGATTTTGCTATATCAGCGAAATTACATATGAATCGTCTGTAATAATTGCAAAATGCAATATATCTTCTTACGCCATCGATATTCGTTGGTCGTGGGTAATCTTCAATTATTTTATATTTTGCGGGTTCAGTTTTGCTGAACCTTAAAAAAAAAAAAAAAAAAAAAAAAAAAAAAAAAAAAAAATTATTTTAATTATATTAATACCAAATACATATTTTATATATTATTGGATTTATATAATAACAAAATAAAAAAAATGTATAAAACACACGTATATCGAAAATTCAGAGTTGCAAAAACTCAGTCACTCACATTTGTAATAAAGAAAGAAGAACAAAAAAAACAAGACCAACTGTATATAACGTCAACTGATACAATGTTCTGACGAGTATAAAAACTCTGTATGTCCACATTTACATACCGACACTGTTCACTATTGACGTTCACAGCAATAAACTAAATATTCATAAAAAAAAAACTCCGCGAAGAAATAAACAGCCATAACTTCCATGTGGCTACTGTTACACATTTAGCCCACACAAGACAAAACAAAACAAACAAAAAAAACGCAACGATTATTATTACGACGAAGCATTAAAAAATTGTGACATAAAAATATATCAAACAACCAAACAAACGATCACGAGAATAATTCATGTCAATTGACACGAACACCCGCAAACAAAATTTTCTAAATAGAAATATATACGTTTATTGAGCACATTTTCTTTTTAAAATGATTATTATTTTATTATTTATTATTAATTCCTTATTATTAACTCTTACACAAAAAAAAAAATAGTTTCCAAAAAAAAAACAAAAAAAATGTATTCTAATCAAAAACGTTTTCTATTCAAAAGGAATGCAAGAAGAACACGAAAATTCTAATTTATACAAATCATAATTCAATAAATAAATTGTAAATGATCAATAAATTATAAATTTTTAATGATGCTTACCTGCATCCTACCGGCTGCGCCAATTTGTTGTGCCTCTATCTTTGACAGTAAAACACACGGGATAAGGTTCAGTTTCTTTTTTATTGATAAAAAAATCCTGTCTAGTTCTTACTCCTAGACACTGTCGCTGCTTTGCTATTTCCGTTGTACTCAGTCGCTATGTTACGTCTGTCTTGGTTCTGCTGCTCTTCTACTAAATTCCTTCGTTATGTTGGTTAATTGCTTGTTGTGGATTTGTTGCCCGGTTCCATTAAAATTGTTCTTTTAATTAATGTTAATTATATATTTATTTTTGGTTTTATTGCCACAAGTGTTTGAATAAATCAAAATCGCAACGAAAACGAAACGGTCTCGAATTCTCTGTTCGCTCACTCAAACTTAGTTCCGTTCACAACTCAACTCAACTCAATTTAATTCAAATTAATTTAATTTAATTTAACTAATTCAATTTAGTTTAGCATTTATTTCATTAACAATATTAGTAATTTATTATGGTTTCTTGAATGAAAACTTGCTTCCGTCTTTTCGATTTGAAGTCAAAATTAAAAAACTGCAAATGATTTTTACCAATCTTGCCGGCACAACTTTTAACTCTCTTCCGGAGATCTATGAACCAGTTCTTAGTTTGGTGGTAAAGCAGCAACTGTTCGACAAAAGTTTCTGTACTTTTGCGTTAGCTTCGAAAGTAGCGTGTTTGCTGGTCACGTTTTGTAGTGTCAGCATATTCCACGCTCGCGTTGTGGGATCATTGCCATCTGCATAGTCTTATGCTACCGCATCGTAACATGAGACTTAGTGCGAAGGCTATTCTTGCATATTTATTTAATAACGGTCAAACCGTTTAACACACACCCTATTGTATGTGTGCCCACAACAAACGCCTTTCTCAGTGATTAGATGACCTAAATATGTGACTTCATGTTTTAAGAAGTTACACTTTCCGGGATTTAATTTGAGATTGGTATCGCTTAGTCTTTGGAATACTTTTTCCAAATTAATATTTTGATGTTTTAGGCTGTTACCAAATTTTATGATGTCGTCAACATATAAAAATGCTTCAGTTTCTAAGCCTGTTAATGCTAATGTCAGCATTCTCTGGAAACTGTTTGAAGAAACTTTTAAGCCAAATGGTAGCCTCTTGAATTCATAATGGCCATCATTTGTTGAAAATGCTGTTTTAGATCTTGGATTTTATATCTATGGGTATTTGGTGAAAAGAGCTGGTCATGTCCAAAGCGGAAAAATATCTAGCTCTACGTAATTTATCTAATACATCCTCTAAGCTCGTCAAGGGAAATTTATCGTTAACGATTTTCTTGTTAAGTTTTCTGTAGTCTATTACTAAACGCCAATTTTTAGTGTGGCTTGTTGATTTTTTAGGCACCAAAAGTATAGGTGAATTATATTATATTTTGTGTAATCTATTATTGTCAATATTACTCCTATTCGTTTGCAAGGGTTGTGACTTCACTTGTAATTTATTTATAGTGACATTGTGATCATTAGTATTCACAATTCTTATGTGGCAATTGCCTTTTTATGGTACTATTGTATTAGCCATGAAGACCTTTACTGATTTCTTTATTAAATAATAATAATCTTCATCAAAATGTACATCTACTGGTAAGACAAGTTCCGTACTTGATTCCATAGTAATCGGTTTGCATACTATTGGTGTTTCTGCTTGTTTATTACCTGATTGTATCGTTAAAGTAAAAGAATAATTGTCGATGACTCCCATGTATGTTGTTAGGAAATCTCTTCCCAAAATACCGTCTACCTCGATTGGAAAATCTTCTGATACTACTGCGAAAGTTTGAGTTATCCATATTCCTTCAAAAAGTAAAGGTAACTTGGATGTTCCTAGGGATAGTACATGTTCACTCGTTATACCTGTAAGTTTATATGTATTGTAAAAGTTATAGACAATGTTAAGGTTTTTTATAATAGACACTTCGGCACCAGTATCTATTAATAATCTTATATTAGTGTTTAATTCAGAACAGAAAATTGAAATATAGTTAGACATGGTTTGATTTAGAATTTTTACTTTCGAACCATTGGATGGTTCTCCATTTCCACCTCTGGTTGCTCGTAGTTTTCCTGGGCGTTTGTTATACGCACACGTCTATTTGGTATATTATGATTATTTGATGCGCTTCTATTGTTGTACCGGTTGGTGTTAGTACGGTTAGCGTTTGCATTATAATTGCTTTATAATAATTTCTAGTATTTTGATACCTATGATTTCCATTCCAGTTTGAGTGTGTATTATTAATATTTCCGTTATTAAAATTTCTTTTATATCCGTTGTATCGATTACCATTAGTATGGTAATTCTTTCGATTTGAATTATTATTACCGGGATGTCGGTAATTAGGAATTCTGTTAAATGCTAAGTTATAGGCTAATAACTGTTGCTGCTGAGCAGGTATGTCCATATTGTCTGCAAATAACCTGGCTTTATTAAAGCTTGTCGGTTGTGCAAATGATTTAAGCTAATAACGCGTTGACATCATTACATTGGACAATTGCTATTCCTTCTGGTGAGCATTTCTCGTAGTTTCTCTTTAACAAGGAGGCATTGTTAAGTGTTGATAAAATATCAGACATTTTTTCACCATAGTATTCTATGTTTGAATTATCTTGCTTTGTGTCAGTTAGTTTTTGTAAGAGTTTAGGGACTGTATCTTCTGATACAAAATTTTCTCTTAGGTTATCAATCAATTCTTTAATAGATTGTGGAAAATCAATGGGACTAACTCTAATGCGTACGTTGTGCTGCAGTTTGCATTCAACAACGTATTCGATAAAGTAGCTTCTATCTGCTTCCCTTAATTCATTATAACTGTCGTTTAATCTGAATAAGAACCCATTAAGTTCAGACACTTTTCCAGTGAATATTGGAAGGTATTTTTCCAAAGCTTCAGTATTCAATGGTTGATTAGCCATTGTAGTAATTGGGGTAATTGTATTTGAATGGTCAACGTTGTTCTGGTTATTCATTTTGTAGAGGTAGTTTTTTGCTGTGTTGTATTTATCAACAAAGGTCTCTATCAAGGAGTTAATTTTTTTTTTGCTTTTTTAAAAATCTAATGAACCTCACTAATGCAATCAGTAACTAATGCTATCTCTGACATAAGAATTGACTAACAAATGAATAACAACAATGATAGAAGAAAGAAAACACAATGTAATAAAATAATAGAAACAATATAGATATTACATTTAGTGGTTTTTATTTAAATAGAAAATAAAATATATTGGTGGAACTCACATAAATAATATATAATTAAATAATGTCCATTATACACATAAATAAAATTTTTTTTTATATGTTTTTTTTATTATTTATTATTATTTTTTTATTATTGGATAATATTAGTTTCAAAGTTGTTTCTAAAAATTGTATTAAAATTTTTTTTTTTTTTGTAAAAATAATTTTTTGAATTATTTATAAATTGCTTAAAGATTGTATTTAAAAATAAATTTTTGCATTTATTTATTTAGACGTTTTGTAAGACATTATGTTTGTGCTTATGTACGTATTGCTTGACATATTTATTTCATAAGCAACGTACATTACAATAATTAAAACTATTATTGTTACTACTACCTGTGTATAATCCTGGTTGCTGGATGCTGACATTTGTTGGTTGTTGTTGATGCTGGTCTTTATGTCCTGGTTGTTGTCACTTGAAAACCAACCCATCCTGTTGTTGTTACTTGATAGATGAATATTTTGTTGTGGTTGATGCAGATATCTCCAGGTTATCCAGGTTAAGAAATTGAATCCAAGAAGTTGTTATTGTTGTCATGTATGCACATACGTGTTGTCTATAAATGTATATGAGTTTTTTTTTGTCTTTGTTTTGTTTAAACACGCACTGATTTGAATAGTTGGTTAAGGTAATTTATTAGTTCAGTATGTTTATTTTGGTGTTTTAATAACAAACTTTTTGATTTGTAAGTTTGTCGACACACAAAACAGTTAAATTTACACATTAACTTATAGTTAACTTATTTTTATTATATATATTAAAAAATTACCCCGTAGTAAAAATTCAATACTCACTGAATGTTTGTAAGACACTGAATTTATTTTTAAAATTGAACTGCTTATATAGTAACTTAAAATCTATCCTATCTATAATTGAAGATACAAAATATTTAATCATAAATCATAAACACATCACCAGGCCATCTAGCTGGTGATGTGTTTTCATCTTTGATAAGAACTACTTGATCCTCTTTTATATTTGGGGCAGAATGCTTCCACTTGCGACGATGTTGAAGACTTGCAAGATATTCATTTTTCCATTAATTTCAGAAATCACCTTTTATTTTCTGAATTATTTTCCACCGATTAAGAGAATCAATTGATTTTGAACAACTTTCCTCTGGAATATCAATTAAAGGTCTTCCAACTAGGAAATGGCCGGGAGTTAAAACATCAGTATTCTCTGTATCATCTCGTACTTCACATAACGATCTAGAATTTAACACTGGTTCCACTTGAATTAACAGTGTCGACATTTCTTCATAAGTTAACTTCACTTCACCAATGACTCGTCTGAAATGATGTTTCATCGACTTGACTGCAGCCTCCCAGATTCCTCCAAAGTGAGGACCTCCCGGGGGAATAAAATGCCATGTAATTTTTTCCATTTTTTGTTTTTCTTAATGTCTTTTGACGGCATTTCCTGGACGTCAACTTCCTTCTCTTTATTTTTTTTTTTACAAACGCGTCCGATATAACCGTTTAATATTTTAACCTGCTGTTTAAGCCACAGGTACGCTTAATAAATTCGACGGATTTTATCAAACTCGAAGTAGCAGCTATAAATATATAATCTGTTGTCTAAGCCACAGATGCGCTTTTTCACTGATTCTAATACGTTAAGTATGTAATTGTTTCACTTTATAAAATGTAATTGTTTCACTTTATAAAAATGTAATAGTTTTACTTTATAATGTAATTGTTTCACTTTATAAAAATGAAAGACATGTCGTGTAGAGTGTTCTTAAGAAACTGACTTTAATAAATTTTTATTCTTATCTCTAACATAATTTCTTACAACTAATTTCCAATAGAATCTTATGTATCGATTCTATTGGTTGATACTTACATTTACTTACGTCTAATTGGTTAACCCAAATTAGACGTACATAATATTTTACAAATATAATTTATTTACATACTGGTCATTTTAGTCTTATATATTTCACAGTGGCACACATCTGGTGACCAACTGTATTGAGGACAAATCATATTGCATGCACTATCGCTTGCAATATGATCTGTGAAATACTTAACACAAATTCATGTGTTTAGCATGCCACTATCCAAATTGTCAAATGCATATTGGAATAATATTGGATTAATTAAATATGCATACAAATGTTTTGTCATATAGAAATGACAAAATAGACGAGTCAAATTTCTGACTCATAAATTATTTCATTACTGACAATTTGGGTTTTTCGGTCATGCTTGATATTTGAGAGTTTTGGGTTGGCGTGACACATTAAACACCGCATTGTGTGTGGTCATGGTTAATATGCCACTACACCCTCACCCTTTAAGAAAAAATTTTATTTTTGAATATTGAACAATATTGAACAGGAAAAAAAATTTTTTAAAATATTTGTTTATGTATTTATATATGTCAAATAAAAGGCTTGAGTATTCGTTTGATACTGATTTATTTCTTAAAATACTACGGTTTATATACACAATTTTTGTCTTAGAAATTAAGGGTGAAATAATCTTACTCAGCATGTGTTCAATGTTATCATTAACAATATTGCATTTGTTTTTAGTGGACTGTATTTTCTGGTTCAAAAAAAGATTTTAGTGCTACACATGCTCATATGCTATTTTGGTATTATTTGTTTAGAATTAATTAAATCTATCTATATTTATCTTTACAATCCCATGCAGA